CTCCTTACATTCATGCAGAATCTACTAGGAATGGGGCAGGCTATACCTATTGTGAAGTAAGTAATAGCATATACTTGACTATAAGCAAAACCCTCTATGCAATCAAGAAGCCTAATAAGGTATTTGTTGATGGTTAGTATAAAAATGATGTATATAAATAAAACAAGGCAAAGCAGGTAAAAACTTCTGCTTGTTCTTCATTGGTGACTGATTACCATGTAGATTTAGCTGTACAATTCAAATATTTAGAATTCTGAGTTAATCTTCATGTATTAGGAAAGTTTCCTAGAATTAATAATTTAATATCTGCAATGAAGTGTCTCTCTTCAACAAATGGAGGAAACTAAGATAAATGCCAACTATGTCCCTCAACATGTTCCATATCATTACAAATAGGAAACTCTGACATATGGAGATGCAGTCCATCCATTCATACAGCAGCAGCTTGATTTCTGTGAAACAAGAATAACAACACGAGCCCCAACTCTTCCCAGGCATAAGCCTATCAATCTAAATTAATCTACTAAATTGTCTTTTTTGTTACAAACAACACACACTCTATAATAGCGCATCTGCAGAGCATGGGTGCCTAGGAAGAAAGGGAGGCAAAGGATAAAATGTGCATGGTGACATCATTACACAAATGACATGACTTTCATATTTGCATCAGATGTTGGGACACAAATTAGGGTAGCATTTGCATGATGATGTCACCACAGGTGTCACCCTTCTGGTGTCATTGCAGTTTCCTGTGGATGCTGCTATTGCTGCAGAATATCTTCATAACTATAATTTATTAAACGGTTGAGCAACTGATTTGCTTTGGGGAAAAATGGTAAAAGCTGGCAGAGGTTCCCAATTACTCGCAAAAAGGTCCAACCATGATGTGTTTTTTGAATTTTCAATTAACTCCCTAGTCTGTTATTTTTCTCAAATAAACTTTCCCTCAAGGAAAATGTTCCCATCCATTGATTAAAACACAGTTTTCAACAGCCACTGATTAAGTTATTTGATAGTGTCTGAGAAAAGTCATCAATTGCTCCTGAAATAAAAAGGTGAAATCAATGATTTTTTCATTATAGGCTACTGACTGACCAAACAAAATAGAGATCCAATAAGTACATTAAGTACGCAGCATAATAAAGTATACCAGGAGGTCAACTGGGCACAATATATAATCAGCTACACACATAAAATTAGATAGGTATTTATTCGTCAGTAGTCCCAAAATTAAGGATAAACATCAATTAAAAACAAAGAAATGATCCAAAATTTTCAAAAAGCTGAACAATTCAAACTTTGCCCTTCAAAATCTAATACAGATAACAAGAAGTTATAGAGCTAAGGAAAGTTATTAAAACTTTGCTGAGAGACTTTAACAGTGGGTCCATAGGACCAGGCAACTTGTGAAATATCCCCCATCTGGAGCCTGATCTTCCTCCCCAAATCATGCATGTTAACATCAAATGCAGGCAGCAGTAAGCCGTTTCAGTCCATTTATATGGAAGTGATAAAGCTAGCAGAGAGAGATGCATTCCTTAGCAGCAGCACTGAGAATGAGTTGATTTTACAACACATAGTAAGAGAACCTAGAAATGAATACCGTACTTCAAAAAATAAGGAAATACCTAACAAGATATTGGGGGGGGGGGAATTGAGAAATGGAAACTATGAGTGGATTCAGCAATAAGAATGGAGTGACACTGAGCTCTTAAAAGTTAGATGATAGCTAGGTGATGGCAGCTGTGGGTGGAATGGAAACTGGAAGAGAAAAGAAGCAGTAGGAAGAGAAGAGAAACATGCACGGTTGAATCCTAGCCACTATTTATTGGACTTATTGTTTTGGTTCTATCATCATCTTCATTAAGACAATTAGAAAGTTATTCTATTGGGAACACACAGTCATCTTAAAGTACTATTACTTACTGCAAAAACAGCCCTTAATTTGCATACACTGGGCCCTCCAATACATCTCTCATACCTCCTCCAGAAAAGGAAAGCAGATTAGTGGAAACACATTGAAATAAGCTATTTAACTCTCAAAAACGATATAGAAATTATATATGCTAATCTTCCAGGTTCACACAAAGCTGGTCAGCCCTTTAAGGTAGGCAAGGTCAAGAGACAGAAGCAGCAGGGATTCCAAGAACATTCTTTATTTTTGTGGGGTAGGTAACAGAATTGTGACAGTCTTTCAGAGTTTCTCTCTGTCCCACCTTATGCCAAGCAAAATCAAGGCACAGTGCAGTTTCTCACACTTTCCATTTTCTCAGGACTGAGTCACCATTTCTCCTCCCTTAACCATTCACTGTTCTCTTCCCCTTCCTCAAGACCAAATCTACATTCTTTCACAGGGGCTTACAGTCTAGTACACAAGCTCCACCTGATATCTTTTAGAATATTGTAACTGTCTTAAATAAGTGAGAAGTTGGCACACTGAGAAACAAAGCACCACCTTCTAGGACTGGATGGGGTACTTTGTTTAGAAATGTGCTCACTTGCCCAGAAAAGAGGTGAAAATAGGCAGGAGTAGAGGGAAGCATACCAAGCTGCTTGGAAGCCAGTCTGCCTTCTGGTAACCATTTTGTGAATAAGCAACCTTCTTCCATAGCAAGGCATTTTGTCAAAGTGACTACAAATAGCAGCCAAATCTACCGACCAGCCAAAAAAAAATTGTCCATCTTTGCTGTAGAAGGACAATGCGTAGCATCTGGGGGCATGATATAGAACTACAAAAAGCTCTTGCCCCCACCAATCCTGAAGGACAAAGATATTATCTTGCACTCACTCAGTACCTGCCTAATATCATTCAGATCAATCACAGAATAGCCTTTATTTCATCCTGTTTTAATGTCCAACCAACAGTGAGAGGAGGGAAGGAGAAAGACAGATTAGGAGAGCTCAGCATGGAGCTAAAGATGAGGCAGAGCCACTACTCTCATTTTTACCAGCAAGCAGGTCCTTGCTTAGCAACCACAATTGGGACTAGCAACTCCGTCGCTAAGCACCGCAGTCGCTAAGCAAATCAGCACATGACTATGATGGACTTATGACGTCACTTCGCATTTGCTGGTTAAGCGAGTCACTGCGGGTCATTAAGCAAAACATCACATGACCACAACTTGCGATTTTACTGCCAGTTCTCCATTGACTCTCTCTGTTGGAAGCTGGTTGTGAAGTGCACAAATGGCGATCATGTAACTATGGGATGCTGAGACGGTCATAAATGCCTGGCAGTGGTGAAGTATCCAAATGTCAATCACATGACCGCAGGGATGCTGCAACAGTCATAAATGCAAGGATTGGTCAATTTTTCAGCACCAATGTAACTTCAAATGGACGCTAAACAGGGCAATCATTAAGCAAGGTCTACCTGTATCCAAGCTCAAACATCTGCTGTGTGGCTTGGCAGAGGAGCCCGCCCTCAAAATGTGACAGGCCTGTCCCAAGTTGTGGAGCCTCAAACTTAGCCATCTCAGACAGCTTTGTGGTGCTTGAGACTGCCAAAGAATTAGAGGGTGGAATCACCAAATCACAGATTGTCATATCCCTCAAAAGACGGGTGATGTTCTCCCCAGAACATTGGACACCCAAATTAACACAGCTCAGCCATGAACACCTCTCCTCCGCAAAAGTACTGTACAAAGTACTTTCTCCAAGATGTCAGGAGAGCATAGTCCAACATTCAGACACCCCAAAAAAGTTTCAGTCCCATCCTTGGGCTGATGTAATCAAGTCAGGGCCTGAGCCCTTCTCCTTCTACAAAATACTTATCTAGTATGCCAGGAGTGATAGTGTAGAATCTCTAGCTGTTCAAAGGTTTGTGGTACTTCCTGCTTAATAAAAGACCACACTTAGATCTGCACAATGGGCCAGGGCAAATAACCTGAGCAGAAATCCCAGAAGTCTAAATGTAGGAGCTAGAGGAAGCACTGGAGGTTTGGCAAGTTGGAGACAGACCAATATTTAGAGCTTGTAAGGAGCAGCTGAATTGGTAGAAAAGGCAAACAGCAGGCATCTGGTGTCTGAGGTCAGTTGCAGGATCTGCAGCAGAGCCAAGCAGCCACAGCCATCTGAATTAGACCAACAGCAGGTGTCAACCAGTTGTCAAGTCCAGCCCGGGTCCCCAATGAACTTGGAGGAAGAGTGCAAGTAAGCAGAATCTCTGGACAAGTGGCAGATGGCTCCTAACTCTGAAAGGTCTGCACTAAGGCCAAAGGTCATAACAACTGGCCAACTGCTGGAAATAGCAGAAATGACATGAAGACCAAACCTAGCAGACATTCAGTCACCAAGAGGTTCTAACCGAACTTCTCACAGACTGAACTGTAAAAAATGGGGGAGAACACAGGAAAAAATAACTGTAACCTCTTAAAGAAAATCTTCAACCAGAGATTAGACCCTTTTGCTTGCACGTGTGCTTATAATCAAAAGCTATCCAAGGAATATGCTAGCATCAGGAAAATACCGTAGGCCTTTCATTCATGTCCAGGTGTGTCTCTGTGGCACTGAAGTAATATCATGAGCTGGGTCGAAAAAAAAATAACTTAAAAAAAAAAAATCAACTGATATGTTGTGTACCTCCTGTAGGACAAATCTAACATTCTCGCTGATTCAGTTTGAATGTTCTGAGTTACTGTATGGCCAAGTTAATGCACCACTGTGACTTTAAGGAGCTTTAGCATTATGCCCAGGATTAACTCAATTCTTATTTTTGGAATATGTCTGTACTACTGCTTCTGCTTTTTGTTGTGTCCTAGCTGGTCATAGACATGAACAATACATCTGTAATTTCAGCTCAAACCAGCCTTTTCTCCTTCTTTCCCCCACCTCCTGAAAATGCTGTTTTAAATTTCATACTACTGTTCTAAATAACCTGTGGGAAAAGCTGCCATCCAGATGCAGCTAAAGCCAAAGGATCTGGAAATACAAGATGCTAAAAAGGGTGTTATCACAGGTTTAAAAATAAAGAAGTGGAGAGCTGGTCTGAAAATACTCACTGCCACTGCATCACCAGTGTCTCATGCTGAAGTCCATAGTCTGTTGTTGTAATTCTGATGCTGCCTGCAAGAAAAGCAAGCCCCATAAGCGTATGCTGGGAATTAATCAATATATCAAACATCAGTAGAACTGGATCTTGATTTCTTTACATTTCAATATTTAAACCTAATCCTCATACCGAACATAGATATATCATAAAATCAGACTGACACTGATAGCTGAAATTCTTACATTAAAGGTTCCTTCCTTAAGTTGTGCTTTACATGAGTCCTTGTTATTCATACATTACCTTCACATATGCATACACAACAAATTACAGCTAAGATACCTTCATCTCCCACTTACAATCACAATTGGGACCACAATTTCTGTTACTAAATGATGCAGTCGTAAAGCGAGACGTCATGTGACTGTATCGCTTAGTGACCATAATCCCAGAAGTCCTGGTTGCTGTCGTTAACTGAGAATTGTGGATTGTTAAGCAAGTACCCACCCCAATCCTAGCCATTCCGGGCTTGGTCCCTCCCAGCCCTGAGCCTCATTAAGGTAAGGGGCTGCCTCCAACTCACTCTACCCACTTATCCTCCCAACATCTATGCCCTTTTGGCTGCACTGTACCCTGCCTTGCAGGGCGGCAAGGAACCCCAGACCTGCATAGCTCTGGGGCTGTTTGCCACATACTGGGAAGCCACAGTCGCCTCAGCCCAGTCCCAGCTGCAGTCGCCACCCTGCACTCCGAGAGCCCGCCACCCAGTGTTCTGCCGCCCCAGCTGACCATTGGCATCTTCTTGCTCCTGTTGCTGACACAGTGTGCCCAGCCTGACTGCTGGGCCAGGCTAGAGCTGGGCTTCGCACTGCGGGGGGGCGGGGTGTATGCAGAAAACAGCCCCTGAGCTGGGGCATGCCAAAAAGCCCCTTTGCACCATACTCCCGGGCGTGCCTCAGCAGCAGTGGGAGCAAGAAGATGGTGAAGGGCAGCAGAGCACAGGGTGGCAGGGGGCCAAAAGAGCATAGATGGGGGGGGAGATAGGCGGGTGGGGGGGAGTTGCAATGCCCCTGCAGTCATAAATGTGGGAGGGCTGCTGAACACCCGAATTTTGATCATGTGACCACAGTAATGCTGCAACAGCCGTAACTTCAAGCATGGGCCATAAGTCCCTTCATTCAGTGCTGCCATAACTTTGAATGGTTGCTGAATGAATGGTTGTAAGTCAAGGACTACCTGTATCCTGTTTTGCTACAGACTTTTTCATACTAAGATCTGATGAGAACATTAGTATGTTTGATTCAACCCGCAAATCAAGGGATACCAACAGAAGGGAGATTTGCAATCACATTCAGTCACATACACGCTCCTCTTCAATCCTTAGGACTCAGTGCATGAATGTTTCTTCATAAGCTTCTGTGGCTGGAGATAATGGGAAAGGCTTATGTGAATCACCCTAACAGCTTTCACTCCACATAAGTGGGCAACTATCTGCACAGGGATAAGAAAAGGAAACAAAAACCCCACAGATATCTGGGCTTTCTAGAAAACATCCCTTGCCCCTAGTTATGTATGTATGTATTCGTTTATTTCTTATTTTTTCATTTAAATTATTTATATGGCCACTCATCTCACAACAGTGACTCTGGGCAGCAAATACAACAGCTACGACCAATGACCCATGATGCCCAAGGTAAAAATAATAAACCCCAATCACAAAAACCATATCATCAGCAGAGCTTACCTAACCCACTGGGCCAAATGCTTGAGGATACAGCCAGGTCTTCAGAGCCTTGAGAAAGACTAACAGGGTTGGGACCATCCGAATCTCTGGGGAGATACTGTTCCACAGAGCAGGCACTGCCACAAAGAAGGCACTTAAACCTAGACACTCATTTTCAAAGCTGGATCTATCTCTATCTCAGGCAATTTACCTAGAATACAGAAACTTCTTCAGCATTTTCTTTATTCAACATTTTTCAATCTCCACCATTATGAAGATTCAGAGACAGCCCAGCACAAAATGACACTCCCTGCCTGAAGAAACTACCTTTGCTGATTTGATATCTTTATTTTTCCATGAAACTGTGAATTTCTCAAGAGACCAGATTGAAGTCTTTCGTTTCCTTTGGCCTATTGCTTCACTAACTGAACATTTAACTAGGGATGGGCAACCAGAACTTTTTTGGGGGAAGGGGCTGCCTCTCCCCATCACCCTCTGGCCACAACTGCTCAAACCTGAAGGCATAGTTCCTCACCAATCTGAGATAGGAAATGCACAGAAACTGTAACACAAGCCTTAAATAAGGCTTAACATTTTAAAACAACAACAACCACCCTTAAACCCCAGAAGGGAAAAAAGACATCTAGGTCCTGCTCAAATAGGTTTTATAGTCCCACCCACTTTGTATCATCATATACACACTGGAGCCTTACCAAAGATGTTAAGCGCAATCACTGGCCACAAAAAGGTTGTTCACATCAAATGCAAATAAAAAGAGGACAGGATAAATTCAGGCTTATTAAGGCAAGTGGTTTGTGTAGAATAAGCCCAAAGAAACTAGTTCCATTCATTTGGGAGCCTACTACTCTAACTTACAGCAAACAAATTATTTAATACACACCAAATGGCAATTATACAGTGTGGCTTGCTTTGCAAGAAAAATAGGAATTGGTTAATATGCACATTCATTCCCAACACTAAATTCTTAGAGAGCTATCTTCCTCCACTCAGGAAATCGAAACATATGTGACCTTTGTATTCAATCCAACTCAACCAAACACAGCTCATTCTGAATTTCATTGTGTTCTCAATGTGATTCAAAGCACTTGGCAAATCATTTTAAGAAATAAACAAATCTGAGAAAATTCTGAAACTCTCTAATGACCACTAAAGAAACAAATATAGCCTGCATTACAGCTCGACAGAGCATCTCATTTTTTCCCAAGTATTACCATGCTTAAATAAATGGGGGAGGCGGAATTCATTTGAATTCTACTCCATATCCAAAGCTTCCTCTCCCATAGAAAGTATGCATGGTAGAAGGAAATGTTTTAGTCCAATTAGGTCACTAATGCAGTATTTTTCTACCCACACAAATATACATCTATGTTTACATTAGAAAATCTTCAAACATTAGCAATTTCCAGCTATATATTTAAGCAGTCTATGGCAGAAGAATTCCATCAGTGGAACTTGATTCTGAAGCACCAAAACTGGAAGAGCACTAGTGAAAATGTGTTTAATTTCTCTGCTCCTCTGTCTACTCTAAAGTGCTCAAAACACTCCACTGCAACGTCACAGTGATAACCACCTTGAAAAGGAATGACAAATTGAGGAGATGACACAAATTAATGTGTAAAGGATAAAACTGAATGTAAAACATTGTCGCTCTAAAATTATCTTGATTGGGGCCCAAGGCAAGATTCAATAGCATAACAGCTATTGAGACCCAGGTTCAAGCACCCCCTGGGAATTTGGGTCAATCCTTCTCTTTCAGCCCACCCTACTTCTCAAGTTGTTGTGGCTGTATAAATGCAGCCATGCACTCTAAGGCAGAGGCAGAATATTAATAAATATTTTTTTAAAAGCAACCACTATCAGAAATCTGGGTTGTGAACCGCCCAGAGTTTTGTACAAGCTGGTCAGCTATATAAATGTATACAACAAATCAAATCAAATCAAATCTAAGTCAATCAAGGCTTCCTCCCATGGGGCTGCTCTTCCTGCTACTTTGGGGCCAGACTTACTGACCTGCCTCAACTCTTTGACTTACACCTGTAAGCAAATGGAAAGTCCATGTTGATTAATAAGCTGCTCAGCTCCTCAAAAGATGCCGACTGATTTCTGTACTACATTAAGCTTCCCCTACTGTTTTAAAGGAAAGCTCCAGGTTAAGTACCTGATAGTAATAAATCATAGAGCAAATTACCTTCAACCTTAGCAGTCTCAAGGCCTTCTTTTAAAATAACCATTTACAATTTGTGACCCACTCTTAATCTCAGGAACATCCATCCATTTATATATTTCTACAACAACTTCATGAAAGGGAAATATTCTGTATGCTTAATGATTGAATAAAGAGGGAATTTCACCAGGTCCTACTAGTCATGCAGGGCTGAGAAAAGCTGTACCTGTTGAAATTCTTTCTTGCATGCCTGAGCATCAAGAATCTTCTTTAGGACCTAGCATAAATAGATATCAGCTGTTCAAGCACTTAGCCAGATCACAAGGTTACTCCATTTGCAATTTCATGAAAGAAAGACAGCTCTGTTGGTACAGGTGATTAAGTACTACACTCAGCTGCAGGAAGGACCAGATCAAGAAATGGATAGCCATCTGAATGCCTTAGACAAGCCTTCACTCTTTACTTCTAAAAGATCCTTGCAAAGTATGAGCAGATCTTTAATAAAAATTAAAACAACTGGGACTCAGATGCATCGTTACTGAACATTTAAAATACAAAAATAACCAGGACAATAGTGTACATTATGCCTACTCTTCCCAATGCCAATAAAGTAAATTATTCTACTCACACATTATTTTGGGGTCAACAAAACATGAAATACACTATATAATCCTCAACGCACATTATCATCAGAATCACAAAAATACAATGCTGCAATGAGAAAGGAGGATATCAGGAGCCAATTATTACAGAGAAAGGGATTATAATCCTGATCAGTCTCCTTTAAGCAGAGGGCCCCTCTGACTTCTGCATCAGGTAGTCCTCGGCTTACAATGGCAATTGGGATCTGTGGTGGAATGTGAAGGTGACCTTGGAAGATTGGGGGGGGAAGAGATGCAACCTGGGGAATGAGCAGATAAAAGAGAAAGGAGTCCGCAACAGGCCAGAGAAAGAAACTTAGGAAAGACCCACTCTAACTACTCAAGTGGTAAATAGTGAGGGTAGGAGATTTGTGCTGTCAGACTTGCAAGATTCTGTTAATATAGCCTTACAATAAAGTAGAATTAGCTCATCTAGTTGTGTTTCCTGTCTGATTTACCTGGGAGGGCTGACATCAATCTTGCAAGTCTGAAAGTACAAATCTCCCGACCTCCCTATTTATTGCCTGAGT